AGATTTTCCAGACTGCAATATTTGGGAAAGTTTAACTGCAATCGATCATCCTAGTAAAAAATGCTATGAGACTCAACTTAAAAATCTGAATGCGTTATCAATTCATAACCTTTGGCTTGAACATTTATGGTTAAATTATATAATATTGTCTGCACGCGTTGTTTTGTGGCTCTCTGCTTTTACACATTAATGCTTGTACATCGTATTCTTTATTACATGGATTATTATGAAACTTTTAACGAAGATGAAAGATCATGTGATTACGTTTCTGATATAATGGTAAAACGACTTGTTGTTAGCGTTATTATTTATTTGTTAGGACACATTAGTGGTGGTCTCATTCTGGGTAAATATAATGGCCATGAATCATCTTCCGTTAGTGATATCATTTCATAGTTTTTATTATTAAAATAAGTCTATGGTTGATTGCTTTAGATTTTTTCTTTTATTGTTATCATCGTGCATGTCACACTATTTCTTTCTTATGAAAAATTCATAGCTTTTACATCATCGTAGCAAACATCCTACATCGATATAATCGATTTTAGCTAGTAATAATTCTACGATCGTTCTATCATACAAAGAATTGTTTCACAGAGGTAGCTACAGAGACGCTAGTAGATCTCTGAGATAAATCAATGTTTTGCAAATATTCTTTTATCCTTTCATATTCGCATATGTACATTTACAGGGTGATTCAAAAGTCAGTTTACCGACAAAAAATTGAATATCTCCGTTACGGCTCAGGCAAATGAGTTGATTTTTTATCAATTCAAGAAGCATATTCAAAGTTTATATCCATAAAGACATGCCCAGAGAAATTCTTTGTTAAGGCCCCCCTCAGAAAATCGATTTTTTTCAAACAATATCGAAATTGAGTTTTTACCACAGGAAGATAGAGCGAAGCTTCCTCTTTCAGAATATATATATAGATTTTTAGAAAATGATCAGTTTTTCAAAGATTTGTCAGATTAGACTTTAACTTCCCTACCATATTTTCTGAGAAATTTTCATGGTTTTTTTAAAGTTTTTTAGTTTTGGAAAAACTCCGTTACTAGTTCAATTATCATTGAATAGAACATTTTCATATTAAGCCGCATGTCAGATGGCATTAGTTTTACTGGATCTTTTACGCGCCTTAAAATAGTTTTAGAAAATTATTCCGAAATATCTCATTTTAATATCAGTTTTTTGAATTTGACCGAAAAAAAAACGACTTCTAAAACTTCTTTAAGCTTTTTCTCAGAAGATGATTTTCAATCAGAAAAATTCGAACTCCTCCCTCATTTTTCGAGCTATTGCCAATACTTTTTTGTTTTTGTTTTAAAGGTCTTGATCAGAGTAAACTTTTGTCCGAACGGGTTTTTGAAAGTTGGTTCCTGGCCTGAGAAAAGTGGAATTTACTGTCGTTGAACTACCATTTTTTATGCTAATTTTGAGAGTCTCGCACTAAAACACTCATAAAAAATAACTAGGATGGAATATGAAAATTCTCTTCGGATAAAAGTTTCGTACTGACATCTTTTTTAATTTGAAACCAGCCCGAGCTCTCGAACTCTTCTTATGACGCATTTATATCAATTCTTCTAAAGGGCAAAAATGACCCATCAATCAGCTGGAAATCTTGTCTAGTATGATCAATCGAGCTGAAATTTTTCCTAGGAGCGTATCTATCCAAGATCAGTCATCCCTGAAACGTTTCACCATGAAAAGACCATTAAAAGTGGAAAATCGTTTCTGAGAAACCCCCTTAATTATCAAAATAATCATAGACCACATGCGTTTCAAAAACAAAAATTTGATAAATGTCTCTTATTAAATGTTTATCTTATATTGGAAATAGATTATTTTCCAGAAAGAATAGAACAAGTCTATTAACTTTTCTAAATAAATAAAGAGAATGAAAAATGTTGGAATTTATTGTAGAAACAGAGAAAAAAAGCACATAGATCATTATTTTCTTAATTTATATCTCAATAATACGAAACCACATGTGTGTGAGTCATCAAATAAATATCGAATACACTACGAGGAACCACATCTCATTTGAGTGAAATCGAAAAAAAAGCAAAAAACAAAAAAAAACTCACTGAAATCTATTAAATGACAAGACATATTTAATGATATATTTAACTTGCACTAAAATTCCGTTTTACGTAAACGATGTTGCTACTCTAGAGTCAATGTGACTATAGTTGAACCAATATTCTATGAATGAAGATGCCCTATAATAGGAAGTTAATCAATTAACTTCTCTCGTTTATTCTTATTTGAAGATATGTTATATGAATAACTATTCTTCGATTCAATCATTTTGATTTTATTCGAAAAATTGAAGAGAAAAAAAAAACCAACGTAAATAACTAATCATTTATTTCTATGGTATCATTTAATTATCTTTGAATATTTTTTATTTATTTTCACATTTCTAAACAAAACCAAAACTAGATCACTGATGCAATTCTACCTTTACTTTTATTTTATTTCAATTTATTTTTAGATATTTATATAATAGAAAAGACTATTTTATGATAAACTAGTTTGTTTTGCAAGTTCTTATTATAAAAAAAAAAAACAAAATGATAGAAAGACATAAACTATCAACACCGATTTCCATCGTCGAGTGAAGACTAACCTACTATTTTTATATATAAAAATTTATTATAAAAACAAATCTATCCAAGGAACGAGTGAAATAAATAACCTATTGAATAAATAATTAAAAAAAATTTATTTTCTAGATAAAAGACATAAACGATTTGTTTTTATTTTATTCCTATAAAGGATATCTACTCTTATTTAAACTAGATAGATTCATCTCATTTTCAAATAAAATTATCTTTAAAACGGTAACATATTATATGACATAACACCAAGAAAGATATATAAAAGAAGATTTATTTAGAATTGATTTCATTTCTAATCGAGATATAAACAGATATTTTATCAATAAACGATAGATATTGAACATTTATCATTAAAATCACAAAACGACTCTTCTCTATTCAATATTATTATTATTCGACTATATTTAATATAATCATCACTCAATCATCTTAATAGATTAGATTTCCTTAGATTATTCAAATCATCTTTTTAACCAAAGAAAAAAATCGAAACAATATTGAGAAAACTTTCAAGAATTATTATTGAAATAAAAAGATAAAATAGAACTATCCTCTTAAACGATGATCGACAAATCTAACATTTTCAATCTCTCACTCTTCTTCTTTATTTATTCAATTCGTTTATTTTTCGATATCTACTAGAAATATATTAATAAAAGAAAAATCTTATCTATTTCCGAGTTATTTTCGTCTAAATAGATTCGATCATCATCATAAACCTATTAAAAATAAAATAATCTACTCGCATTTATTTAACCTTGAACGTTAACCGAGTGAGTTGACATTTTGATAAAGATATATCGTTTATCAATAATAGCTATAACAGAATGAACATCTCAGTCAATATAATTAGATTCATTTTTCGAGTAATTTATAGATCATTTCAAATTCTTTTTTTTTTTTTTTTTTTTTTTTATCCAATTCGGATGAGAAGTTCGAAATGGGAAAATAGAAAATCGATTTTATGTTCAATAAATAGAGAAAATTACTCCTAGACATTTTTTTATCAGGCTTATCAACAAAAATCTTCATTTTCTCATTATGCTTCATTCTTTCTATTGTTAATTGATCAAATAAGTGTGTTTTTCTTCAGATAGAAAGTTAGATCAACATGAGATGAACATTTTCTTTTCAGAAAAACTCCTTCTAGATAGAGGATATTCTAGATGATTATTAAACCATAATAAAAGATATATTCTCCTCTCATTGTTACTTTTCGCAAAATCTAAAAGGTCAATATCATAATAAAGATTTAATACAATAACAAAAGAAATTGTTCCCATCTGAGGGTTGACTTACGAAATGAGTAGAGAGATATTTAATACCCACAACCTTAATTCTATTCATAATCAATCTTGTCAAACAATCAACTTATTCATAAGATTAGCAGTTAAATATCACTCTAAGAATAAAATATCGAAACGATCCGCATTAGAAGAGATTTTTTCTTCGATTTACAACTTGAACAAAATGACTGAAAATCGTCTTTCACTAGATACTTATGTTTTCGTATAGGAAATAGTCCCTTTTATAGAAAAATCTTTTAGATTTATTTATTTATAAATAACTTGTTGAATGATCTTTACTTTTTATGAAAGAATTAATCTAGTCAAATGTCAAGATCAGAATAACAAATAGAAAATACTGAATCAGAATTGTTCGTCACTCTATTGAGAACTCTTAGAATAAAATAACTCTGACCAATAAAGAAAACTTTATTCTTACACTCACTCTTTGATTTTTCTTTTATTATTACAAAAAATAATAGTAAAACAGCTGCTTCACAATTGTTCACTTTTCCGAGCAACGAAACGGTGAGATAAAAACATTCAACCTCATTTTCGAACTCCTCACACGCAATAACTTACAGGTAACTCTCATCAATGTGATAGAAAACGGGAATTATATAAAGACTTGTTTAATAAACATCTAATAAACAACTATTCGATTTTGATTTAGAATTATATTTATAAATTCTATTTATATTAATATAAATCTATACTCTTAAATAACATTTTCATAATCCGAATTTTGATTATGAACATTTTATATTGATTTCAATAAAATCAACTCCTTTCTCATATGACTAATAGAAAAAAAACCCGTATAGATAAATACGAAAGAAGGTACCTTATTAAAATATTCGAGCCATTTGAGATTTGATTGGCATGTTGTAGAGATAATCTATAATAAATGTGGAAACCTCGGATTTAAATCCGAGAGTTATGTGTACTGAAGAAAAGTGAATGAGACAAATCGATCATCCTAGTATGTGCGGATATAAAAATTAGCCTGGCAAATCCTTTCTATAAACACTTGAATTCTATTGGTTACTGCTCAACCAATAGGATTTCAGGGTGAATACAGCTTAGATTTGGACTCTTCGCCTTGAGTTATCCTAAGAAATGCATTTTTCCTATAACTTGATTTCTATTGGTCAATGCTCAACCAATGGGGCTTCGAGTCAAGTGAATTACAGATTCAAGTTCTCCATCCCAGAAAACCTCGAAGTATCATCTGTGTGATCGGAAGATAGAGCTCGATTTGTGGACCAATTAGAGCGCAGACAAAAACAGAACCGATTTCGGTTTATTTATCTTTGCAATAGGTGAGCTAGCCTTCTTGTTTCTTTATGTTTTATATACCATTTTGTAGCTCTTGAAATTCTCTATCGAATGGTATATAATAGTTGGGGTTTCATTTGACAACGATAGGGAAAGTGTTTTACGAAAGTGGCAATAGGTCGATTTTCCTATAGAAAGCCATAGGGAAAAATGAGTATTTTTGCAATAACTCGGGAATGGCTCGGCAATTCTTCTCATCTTCGAACTCGACCCAGATATTGTTGAGACTAAACTGTGTAGAAAATTTCATTGCGATCGGACTCTCCTTTCAAAAGTTATCGTGTAAACGGACGGCCGGCCGGACGGACACACTGACCGATTCGTCGAGTGTACTCACTTTTTGAGTACACAAAAAACCTTTTTCTTATTGAAAACTTAATTTCATTAATTAATAATCTTTATTTTTAGAATGAACATAATACAATGGTTGAAGGTTATACACTTTTAAAATCTATTGAAACATTACAAAATGAATTAAAAACAATAAATACAGATGATAATAATAAAATTCTCAATGAACTTATTGAACAATATCATGAACAATTAAAAAATTGTAATTCATCTTTAGTTGAAATTATATCTATCTGATAAGACAAATACAAATAAATATAAATACATTTGATGATAGTTGTCAAGAAATTGAACATACAATAAAACAACAATGTATTTTATTTAAACAATTTATTGATAATAATCATAATATTTTACCTGATAATTTAAATCAACAAATACAAATATTAAAAAATTTACAACATGAAATTGAAACAAAAACAAATTCAATGATTGAAACATTACAACAAACAACAAAAGAAACACCAATTAATGAAACGAAAATTGATTATTTAATAAATGATAATCAACAATTAAAATTAGCAATTCTTGTAAGTTTTTACCAATTCAATGTGCTATAGAAACTTTAGATTATGGATGATGCAGATTTTTTTTCCTTTCTTGAATTTTAAATACAGTAGACGAAGGTCTAGAGTCCGCATAGAAAGAATTAAAATTTCCAAACCATACTTTCGTTATGACATTTTCTTTTTTGTGTATCCAAATCTGTCACATATGTTAAACTTGAAACCGATGCGGATCTATAATAATTAAAAACAAAAATTTTCTATTCTAGGAAGAGATTGATCAATGAGAATCTCTTCTCATTGAATATACTCAATTTCTTACTGAAATGACACAAACACAAACAAATGCTGCATCTCTTGCTCAAAAACCTGATTCTTCAATATCCGATGAAGATTATATGGTACAATCTATGCACATTTCTTCTTTTTTTTTTTATTATCCCTCTCGATTCTTTTCTTTTTTTTTAATTCGATATAGAACATAAAACATTCATCAGAATCAATATTCAAATCTTTTGATACAATATCAACAATTGGTCATGGTCTACTTGATAATTATTCTCAATATACACAATTATGTCGTTCAATTCAATCACCACTTGATATAAATCAACAAAATCGTCAAACATTTGAATATGCTATGAAAAATACAGAAGTAATTTTTTTTTATTGTTGTTTCTATTTATTTCTAATTCTTTCGTTTATATTTAGACAATCTATTTAACTGCTGTAGAAATACGACAAGAATAAGATGAAATAATTAAAAATCTTCAACAATAATTAATACATTTAGAACAAGTTATTAATCAAACAAATGAATTAGATGATATACAAATATTTGATCAAACATATGAAGTAAATTAATTAAAATATTAAAATAAATTTTTCTTATCTTTTATTTTAGGAAATAAATACATATATTGAAACTATTTATATAAAACTTAAATCAATTATGTCGAATGCAGATTATCGACATTTATCTACTTTAAATGTTATTCAACAACATTTACAAATTATTTCTAATCAAGTACTAAAACTCTTTTTTTTTCTCTCAAAAAAAAAAAAATTCAAACATTTTATCTTTTTATTTTCTTTAGAGTCAATATCAACGAGAAAAAATTCGTCCAATACTTGTTAAAAAACAAGCTCAAAATGAATTAGTTGAATCTTCAATAAATTGGTTACAAGATACTATGAAACATTTATCTATAATTTCAATTGAACCAATATCTATTCAATATGATCAAACATTAACCCTTTCAGTCCCGGTGGGATATATATTTCCCACCTAGCGAAAATTTTGTATTTTTCAAAAAATTTCAAAATTATTTGAGGTTTTTAAGATCTAGAAGGAATGTTTTCAACAGATATTCGTAGTTAAGATACATTTGTGAAGGATTGCATAGATATTCTTGTGAATAGAGATTATCAATTAGTGTATCGAAGCGTATTCATGTGATTTTTCAAAGTTTTCCTCAACAATCTAAATTTTTTAAAACTGGTCTTATGAGTCATTGAGTCGTGATGATAGAATCTACAAAAATTATTTGTTCCTTCAGCGAACCCTATACTTTCGACTAAATAAATATTATTTATTGGATAATTCTATTCTCCACTAAAACTAATAGCGTAAAATTTGAAATATGAATGCTCTCAAAAACCTAACCGTTTTCTAAAATATAATGGATCCAGGCTCTGATGAAACATCAATATATATCATATACTAGCACCGCATTGATAGGTAACTATTATAGTAGAAAACGACTAGGAAGACCTTTGGCAAAGAGTAATCAGAAGAAGATTTGAATCGAGGAGACCATTAGTGATACAGAAAATTCGAAAAAACCACAATTGTTAGCTCATTTACCAGATGTTGTTTCAACTTATCGTAGATGTGCTTATTGTAGTAGAAAAGAAAAAGAAAAAAGAACGAATGTAATATGTATTTTTTTGTGGTGTTTGTCTCTGTGTAAAAAATTGTTTTTCGTTGTATCATCAAAACTATGTATATCAACAATAAACTAAATAAATATCTACTCATATAATTACACAATTTTTCGTTGTAACTTAACGAGATGTTTCGTAATACCATCTAACCACTTAGCGCTATATTTTTTCAAACTTAAACTCGATAAAAAAAAAAGTCGGGACTGAAAGGGTTAAATCGTTTAAATGATTTATCAAATGAAATTCAATTAAAATTATTACAAATTCAAGAAATAAATTTAATAAAAAATAATAATAATCCTTTATTTGAACAAAATCGTTTAAAATTAATCATAGATTTAGAAAATACAAAAGAAACTATTAATAATTTAATAAATAATCGTCAACAAATACAAATAACTGTTCAAATACTTGATCAAGCAGTTTTATTAATTAATCAAAATATTAAAATTCTTCGAACAAATCTTGAACATTATCAATTATCAAATAATAATATAGAAGAACTTCAAGTAAAGAAAAACAAATATATATATTTTATCTTTTTCTTTTTTTTGTTTTTTCTAGAGATTAACTAATAGTATAAATAATGAATAAATACAATTAAAAACATGTTATGATACTTTAAATGAACTTCATAGAAATTTAAATGAAATTGATCGAAATTAATATACAAATCATATACGGTTTCAATTAAAAAATCTTTCATTTTCTTATTTAATAAATATGAATCTTTTTCTTTTTTTAGTTCTCTTGAAAATCAAATAGCTTATATAAAACAACGTTTAATTCATTTTGAAAAATTATCAATTGAACATCAAAATGAATATAAAAATTTCGAAAAAAATCTTCAATTATTTCTATTAAATATAAATAGATTTAAACAAACATTACAAATACGTTTAATGCAAATAACAATTGATGATATGAAAATAATTTATGTAACTTTTTTAATTAAACATATTCGAAGAACAAAAAAGTAAAATCGTTTTTTTTTTTAAATCGCTAATTCACTAAATGCCCGTGTTTTTGTGATAGTAGAAAAAAAATTAAAAATAAAATAAAAGTTGCACTTAGGCTGATTAGTTTTCTTCTTTTTTTTTCATCAGTCTAGTTCACCAACAAATCTAATAATGTGTGTGTACGTGTGTCTTTTGATACCCCCTGCTATGCTATAGGCTTTGGTCTTCCTTGTTTCTCTCTTATTTTAGATAATAACACCGCAATTGTGGTGTTCTGCTGCCAACTAACCGTATGTAGGAATTCGTGTTTGCTTTCTACTAATCACATGTACCGTTTTATTTATTTAATTATTATCTGCACATTACATATACATATGCACACACACATATTATAGATGGGCATAGAACGCGAATAGGCGATTACAAATGAAAGAAAAAAAAAACAAGGCTATTCTTTTGAAAATTCAAAAGGTAATTTTTGTTTTTTGCGATGCTGTCAAAAGTTGACACCAACATTTTTAGAATTTTAATCGAGAGATTCAAAGTGAAGAAACACATTTAAATGCATTACGTGGTAAATACAAGACATTAGCATCTGATTTAAATAGTGAACGAACGTCAACAAACAGAAACTATGATCAATAAAATTCAAGTAAAAAAAAGAAAAAATAATCTATCTTATTTTTATTAATTTTGCTAATAATTACTTTTTTAGGTTGAACTTGAACAATTACAAGAACAAATTGAAAAACGAAAAGAACATTTGAGTATTTTAATACATCAACGTCAAGAATTAGATCAAGCATCTCAACGTTTAATTGTTTGGTATGAAGATAAACAACGTTTAGTTTCACCTGATCAAATGATTCCATTAAAAATCAATGAAATTGAACGAATACAAAAGAAATTTAATGTTAAAATAACTATAGAATATTTTATTAATCAAAAAAAAAACAAAGATTTTTTTTTATTTAGAATACATTAAATGAATTAAAATTTTAACGAATAACATTAGATAATATTATTAAATTAAGTGAAAAAGTTAAACAAGGTTATTCACGTGAAGGTCAAAATGATGTTAATCTTCATATGGATGGTTAGTAATACATTAGAATAATAATTTTCATTTCTTTTTTTTTTGTTCATAGAATTACTTCGTAAATTAAATTCTTTGGAAGAATCAATACATGATCGTAATCGACAATTAAATGGTGCTAATGAACAACGACGAGAATTTGATAGAATTATGAGTAAACTTAGTGAATGGATTAAAACTATTGAACAACAAATTAAAGATCCATTAACTAATGATCTTCAACAAACTACTAATAGTCTCAAAGAAAAAAATAAAAGTATACAAGTAAGAAGAAGTTTTATTATCGATTTTTTAATAGGAAAACCATCATTATGAGATAGTGTGCTATTTTAATCAATTACAACTAGGATTTCACAATTATCAGTCGAATAGAATATTTGCTATACTGAAGTAGTGATGTAACCAGAAGGGTTCAGTGCCTTGACCATATCTGTAGAGGGAACTCAAGCCTCATTTTAAACTGAAGTGAAAGATATTGAGGAAACATTTCCAAGTATCAAATCGCTTTTCTACTGAGACGAAGTTCATTTTGATGAGTAATAAGAAAGTTTAAAATGATTTGGCTTTTCGAGCCTTCATTCTTGAGATATCGAAATTTTACTGAATTCTTCAACAGCAAGCTGTGATCACATGGAAAATCGACTGCAAACTTTGCAAAACAAAATTCTTAATGAGACTTGTTGATTATACAAGTCTCATTAAGAATTTTGTTCGTGCAAAGTTTGTAGTCGAAAGTCAATTTTTCACATGATCATAGCTTTTTATTTAAAAACTCAATAAAATTTCAATATTCTTGAGAACGAAGGCGAGGAAGATCAAACCATCCTAGATTTTTTTTTAATACAGTCTATCACTTATCAAATGAATATCTTCTCGGTCGAAAAGTGATTTGATATCTGAAGAGATTCTCTCTAGCGCTCATTTTAAATATATTTTGAGAAACCTTTCCTATTGAATTGTTGAGATTAAAAACGTCGTATATTTTAGTACTTAAACAAAACAATATTATACATATATATACTGAAATCTTTAATCTTAAGCTTCTAATTAACTCCTAAAAAGTTTGATTGTCAATTCTTTTTGTTTTTTTGTAAGGCATTACTTGAATCAACAAAAGATCGTACGAATGAATTTGATGATTTAACACGTATTTATATGATTGTTTCATCAACATTGAATGATACTGATCGAATAACATTAGATGAAAAATATACTTTACTTCAAGAAAAATATAATCGTTTATTAGATAATCTTACACAACGTCTTACATTACTTGATGAAGCAAATCGTAAGTTTAATCGTTGTTTTGTTTTTTGTCTAATTTCTTCTTTTAATTATCATTGAAGGTGAACGAGATGAATTTGATAAACAAAATGAATATGTTCAAAATCTTTATCAACAATTACAAAATGATTTTACAAAATTAAAACAACAATCATCATTTATTGATGATAATCGTCATTATGATTTATTATCAATTGAAAAACATTTAGAACAATTTAAACAATTCTTAAAACGTCTTGATGAAACAAATAATAATTTAAAAGAATTAACACGTTTACAACGTTTATTAACTAGTAAAGGACATCGAATTGATTTTCGTACAGGTGGTGAATTAAATGCTAATTTAAAAAATCTTCAAGAACAAATTCATAATGAAATTGAAAGAATGGAAAAAGCTTTACAAACAGAAAATGATTTTTATCATTTAGAAAAAGAACTTGAATCATATTTACAAATTTCATCTGAACATTTAAAATCAGCTCAATATTAACAAGATAAAGGAATTGCTTATCACGTTAGATTTTTTTGTTTTGACAGGTTATGTCATTTTAAGTAATAAAAAAAAATCGAACTTTTTTTTTGCAAAGTATTTCTTTGAATTTAATGATTATTTTTTTAGACTGTTTTCGATCGTTTACAACAAAATGAACAAGGATTAAATAAATTAATTTAACTTGCTGAACGTCTTAAACCTGAACTATCACGTTCACAATATGAACAATTACAAAAAAAAATTGAACAACGTCAAGAATATCTTCAAACACTTATAAAAATATGTCAACAAGCACATGGTGAACATGAACATAAAGTTAAAACACAAAATAAACTTAAAGAAGAATTAATTGCTATTAATGATTGGTTTAAAAGACTTATACAAGAATTAACACAACCAATTGATCTTAATTTATCATTAAATAATGTTAATGATATTCAAGATTCAATGGCAGTCAGTTTTTTTTTTGTATAAAACTGTAATTAAATATCAAATTATTTAGCAACTTAATGTATCGATTGATCAACGTT